GGAGGCAGAGAGGAGGACGAGAGCTCCCCACCCGGCGCTGGATAAAAGGTAAGTTTAACCCCTTTCCTCTCCTCAAAGCCCGGAGGGAGTGGGACCCTGAGCGTGGGGACACCCTCAGGGCACTATAGTGCCAGGAAAACGAGTATGTTTTCCTGGCACTATAGTGGTCCTTTAAGAAATGCACCAAAAGGTCCCAAAACTACTGAAAACATACTGAAAACTACTGAAAACTAAGTGGAAGAGTTATAAATAAAAGGGGGGGGTCCCTACCTTTAATAATCCTAAGGGTATAGGCAATTAAAATAGACAGGGAGGAAAGATAGGGCAAAGGGAATAGATGTGTAAAACACATACAGGTCCAAAACAACTACTTTACAGAGAAATAGCCCACATCTAAAAAAGTGGGTCAAAAATGCTCCAAACTGTAAGGTTGTCAAAAGATAGGTAAATAGAGGAATAACAAAGGAAGGAAAGAGGGGAAAAGGAAGGGGGAGGAACACTTCCTAACTGTATACCTCGGCACAGTGAGAATCACAAGTGTCAAAAGATAGGTAAATAGAGGAATAACAAAGGAAGGAAAGAGGGGAAAAGGAAGGGGGAGGAACACTTCCTAACTGTATACCTCGGCACAGTGAGAATCACAAGTGATTCTCACTGTGCCGAGGTATACAGTTAGGAAGTGTTCCTCCCCCTTCCTTTTCCCCTCTTTCCTTCCTTTGTTATTCCTCTATTTACCTATCTTTTAACAACCTTACAGTTTGGAGCATTTTTGACCCACTTTTTTAGATTTGGGCTATTTCTCTGTAAAGTAGTTGTTTTGGACCTGTATGTGTTTTTACACATCTATTCCCTTTGCCCTATCTTTCCTCCCTGTCTATTTTAATTGCCTATACCCTTAGGATTATTAAAGGTAGGGACCCCCCCCCTTTTATTTATAACTCTTCCACTTAGGGACCTTTGGTTCCACACTATTTTTTTATATATGTGTATATATATTGTTTTATATATATTTGGGAGTCTAGCCAACTCCTTGGTTTTGCACCCCTCCCTGTCACAGGTGCCTCATCCCAGGGCCCTATTTAGCCTTGTACTGCAGAGAGCCCCAGATGGAATTTTTTTCCCCAAGTAGGTTAATCTCATAAGAGCAGACATTAGGCTGTTAGTGTAGGACCTGCCAAAGATGGGGTACATTGACGTTGTGGCAGGCTTATGCAATGTATGATCATATAATGTAACTAAACCCCATTATTTTTGCCTAGATTAGGTGTTTTAAAAAAACAAATAAAATCTTTCAACATTGAAGTTGCTGTTTAGTGGATAGGTGAGTGCGCTGGATCTTGTGTATTGTATTATTTGGCCCCCAGCAGCACCCCCATTTATGCATGTTAAGGTGAGTGCAGCCAACCCCCTCTTGTTTTATATATATATATATATATATATATATATATATATACACACACACATATATATATAAAACACAGATAAAATTTGTGTCTTGTAATACTTTTTTTATTGGACTAACAGAATTTTTCAATGACAAGCTTTTGGGAGAACCTCCCTTTCTCAAGTCTGAAGCATTTCTGAGCAAGAGGACACATAGAATTTAAAGTTGAGTTGTGATAGAGGGGTTAAAGCGACGTGAGTGTAGATAAGACACAGGTTTGTTAGAAAATGGTTTAAGAACAAGAATAGAGGACTAAATATTGATTTGGGTTTCCTGTCCCACTACCAACAATTTACATGAATACTCCCCCAGCATTATCTTACTGTTCTGTCATATGTATCAACATTTTAAAATGCATTCCTATATGTTTATTCTATCTATATACAAAGTACTATGTGTAGACCTATGCTTTCTCATACTCGTATGCATGTATGCTTATATATATTACTGTGCATTTATTTTTGTGTATATGAGTTCATGTGCATGTATGTATATGTGTTTATGTATATGTACATGTGTTTATGCATTCACATATACATATTTATGTGTGTGTGCATTTATAAAGTGTACCATCCTCTGCACTGTCTGCTTGTGTTTTTCTTCTCCCTCTCTCCCCCCTCTATCTGCTCTTCAGAAAGATATTTATGACCCTCTGCAAAAATGGTGTCTATTTTCTAACAAACCTGTGTCTTATCTACACTCATGTCACTTTAACCCCTGTATCAAAACTCAACTTTGAATTCTATCTGTCGTCTTGCTCAGAAATGCTTCAGACTTGAGAAAGGGAGGTTCTCCCGAAAGCTTGTTGTGACAGATCCATCTGTATAGACTAAGATTGCTGGATTCGTCTGTTTTGCCTTTTTTTACGAAATTACCCGTTCGTATGCCCCTGTTCCGTGAATTTACTTTTTCGCCAAACAAAACTGCCGAACGGACGGCCACCCAGAAGAGAAGTGTGCTGCTGGTTAACCTATTGATCCCAATTAGAACGTTGCGGTTAACCACAGACACTTCTCAATTAAAACCGAACACAGGGTGGTCGTCGTTAGTATGTCGACCACGAGGCGGCGGCCATTTTAAACAGGCGAAAGACCAGCATTGATTTAATGGAACTGAAAACGAACACATTTTCAGCCGAACACCGCTGAAGCCGCCAACCTCCCTTCTCAATCGACAGAAGTGGACAAACACCGGCCGTTTGGGAGGTTTAAATGCACGAATGGACTTACCCCAGATAGCTTTCCCATGGAGTCAATCGCATACCGAAGAACTGTAATAGACTTTGACTCCATGGTGATTGAACTATGCGTATGGGATCTGAGCGCTATTCGCCAATAATATGCACTCAGATCCAGGCTATCTGGGGATATGTGATACGAATGGGTAGCATTCGACAAATTTAAAGTTATATATTTTTATGTGTTTTCTGTGTTGAATTTAAAATGGCGATTTGCCTCTGCCCTGGAGATAATTGAATTACTTCTCAATTATCTCCAGGGCAGAGGGGAGGAATTACTACTGCATGCTGGGAATATTTTCTGTCTGTGGGTCCTGAACTGCCATATGTCTGTCTATTGTCACAGTCTCCCATTTGGTCCCCTAGGGGAGTGTCCACCAAGTGGGAGACCTGTACAAATACGGGCAGGTAGCCCACAGTAAAGCCAGTTCTTGTTTTACCCTCAATGCGGAGCTTGGTCTCGTTATTGGGGGGATTTATTACCGATGACTAGAGACTGCTGGATGGGATTATAAGCCGCTTGGGAGATACCTGCGTTCGGCTAATATTGGCGATTCATGAGTTTCGAGCTCATGGAGTGAAGTGCCCGTACGGATCACGTTCGTGAGTTTGCAGGGTTCCCTTGCTTGCGGTTTGCATGATTTTACTGGATACGCATGCAGCCTATGTTATTGCGAACGGGAGCATTCACTAAACGGCGGTTTGTACATTTCATGCTGAGGGTACCGTAACATATATAAATATATATAAATAAAAAATAAAAATAATCAATAAATAAATTGAAAAAAATAAAAATAAAATAATAAAATTGTAAAAAAAAATATATACCTATTTAAATTCATTCCAACTGTATTTATTTTTTTTATTTAACAATTTTTTGTTCAGTACTAAGTGCAGCACAACAGTGGTTACATTGTAGGTTTTTGACATTTTCACATTGTGACGAGACCAATCTCGCCACATTGCTTTGGAGAAGCCTGGTTGCTCGCCTGCTGCCTTTGGACTATGGCCCCATGTTGAAAGACATCTTTTTTCCCTGCAGAAAATACTTATTCGTGCTTTTCTGCCTGGTGTTCGGTAGATTCAATCTACCGAAAAACCGCACGAATGACTGGACCACCTGGGAGCTGGAGTGTGCCGGCAAATAGCCTCCCTGAAGCTGCGGTTAACCGCAGCTTAATTGACGAATAATGGGTGGCCGCCATTCGTATCACGGTGTTCGACGCTTAATTCATGTTACTAAAATCGGACACAGTTTTGCGCGAGCACCGCTGAAGCCGCCGACCTCCCTTCTTGTTCGGTGAAAGTGCACGAACGGCCCTGTGTTCGGTAGTTTTACTTGAATATGTTATACCCCAGATAGGAATCCCATGGAGCCCATTCGCATGAGAACTGACTGTGTAAAGTCTTTGGCTCCATGGCGATTACACTGTATTCGTGTGGTCTGAGTGCCATTCGCTTAATAATGTGCGCTCAGACCTGAGCTATCTGGGGATATGTTAAATGTATAGTTTTAATGTAACATGTCCTACATGGTGTATTTTAATAGTAATTCATGTTTTAGTATCCCCACGTGCATAATGGCGATTTGCCTTTGTCTTGGGAGATAATTGAATTACTTCTCAATTATCTCCAAGGCAGAGGGGGGGAAGCCAGGATGCATTGTGAGAATATAATGTGACTGTGTGTCCTATTTGTCTACTTGTCTGTCTTTTGTCACAGTCTCCCATTTGGTCCCCTAGGGGAGTGTCCACCAGGTGGGAGACCTGCATAAATACTGGGCAGGTAGCCCTCATTAAACAGACCACTGCTTGACCCTCAACACGGAGCCTTCTCTCGTCTTTGGGGGGATTTACTGAATGCTGATAGAGACTGATTGCTAGGAGTGTAAGCCGCTTGGATGCTTTTCCTATTCGTCTGCTACCAGCGATTCGTATGGTTCCAGTTCGTGAGTTTGGAGTGTTACATTGTATGCCGTTCAGGAGTTTGGAGCATTCCCTTACATGCGGTTCGTGAGTTTGGTGTTCTACAGTAGCTGTGCCTGCATCTCTGAAAGGGGACGATCGCCTAAACGTTTTTTACCCCTTGTGTGAAAAACGGTCCGTTACACACATAAACACATTTTCGGAGCTGGAGAATATTACAGATAGTCTAACATGCAGTTTTGCAGTGTTTATAATAAAATAGATCTAGTTACCTATGTTCATCCTTCAGTGTGTACGGTATTACCAAAGTCTGCGTCGCGCAGCACCTTGCACCAATTTTAACCTATGTTGCAACTGGGTATAACAGAGGGCGGATAGGGGGTGGGGGCAGGATCAAGGCTAGAGTTGATCTATTTCCTGTGTTTTATCTCTTATGTTGGCGTGATCATGGGGTTCGTTAATTGGCCTTGTTAGGTGGGCATTGGGTCTTGTGCTTGTCCCACATTTCCCATGTTTCTTTACAAAATTTCTGTGGGGGTCTGGACATTCTGGCCACGGAATTGTATTTTTGGGAGGATTCCACAGCGTGGATACAGGATATGATTTGCGGAGCACTAGGTGATAACCAGTTACTGCTAATCGCATGTAACGCTGCTATAAGTATGTGGTAAATCAGGTACTTATTCGTTTTTGATACGTTCAGTGGCAGGTACAGCTCAGGTTGTTGGGGCAGTGCCACTTTAGTTGTTTGTGCAATTAAATTTGAGATTTGTGCCCAGAATTGTGATATCTTTGGGCACGTTGACCATATGTGATATACTGTGCCTAATTGCATGTTGCATCTCCAACTTTTGTCCGATGTGTGGGGGTTTATGAGATTCAGTTGGTTGGCACTAGATGCCAGCGATATAGTAGCTTCCTAGATAATTCTACATGTGAAGTGCATAGCGTGAGGTTTTTGTTAGCTAGAAATATGCACTTTTGAAAGTCCAATTCCCAGGGAGTCGTGCAGTGTGGGACTTTTGGATTGCATTGTGGTACAGTTGAAACATTATTTTGTTGGGTGGTTTGCGTTGTACACACAGTGTTTCAATAGTTAATAGTTGGCAGTTCTGCCTGGGTGGTGTGCCAGGGTGGTAATGTTTGTTGAACCATGACTGTATTTGCATGTACAGGTA